AACTTATAATATTGCTACAATTGGCTTGTTTGATTCTAATACATCAATTACTTCGGAATCATATATATAATTTATAATTTTTTCTTTGGTTCAATGTCATTATTGGCTTGTATAAATTCTTATTTGACTTAAATATTAAAGGGCGAACAAATCCATAAAAATTATTATTAATAATAAAAATTTCCACCCGCTATCAACTTTTTCATTTATTAAGTAATTGAAAAAAGGAACGTTGCTATATATTCTTACTGCGGTCCAAATCTTGATAAATAAACAATAATAAAATAAAATATATAGTATATATATATGTTTCAGCAATATATTCAAAATTCCTCGACACAAGATTAAATTCTACTTTACAATCTGGAATGGGTAGGAGTAGTTCCTGTGCTTGTTGTAAAATTTGAATGAAACAAATGTGACTGCTGCCGAATCATCCAGTAATCCTACTACTAATTATAATAATAACACTAATTATTGTTATTATAGAAATTTAGGTTTACCACAAAGACTTTGAAGAAAATCACAATAATCAAAAAAATTAGGTAATGAAGTGACAAAAACGAGAAAGCCACAACCTGGTCAATTTTATGATTCGGTTGAGGAAGTGGCAGAGGTGGATAAGGAAGCGGGCATCTTTTATACACCAGGAAACACAAAAGGCTTTTCAAAACATGTTGCCTAATAATGATATTGAGTATTTGATGGGAAAAAACCATTGATCACTTAAAAAAATATATTCTGGATCTACTATAATTAATAATAATGATCAAAAGAAAAGTAAGGGATAACATAAATGAAGTTAACCGAAAACGACTACAAGTAAAACAAATACGAAAGAACAATGAAAGCCACAATTACAACCAAGTACCAATAAAAAAAGGGATGAAAGGTAAAGACAGAAGATTTTGTAATGGAAGAGATGGGTGTCAAACCATCACATCAGGTTTCTCTTTGATGACAAAAAGGAGATAAATTAATGGTGGCGGGTTCTGATGAATCATTAGAATTGTTAGAAATTAATGAATGGTGATTACATTAAATATCTGGAAACAACATTAAATTCCAAAATGCTTTTTGAAAACTGTATTCTCATTAATAAGACAAAGTCCGTATTATAACTTAGAAAAATAAAAATTTATTTGAAAATATAAAATTGTGATTAAAAAAAATTTCTGATATGATAAAACCACTTTTAAGAAATGGTAATAACATTTTACTATAAAATTTTTAATTGCATGAGAAAAGAAAAAGAAAAAGATAATTAATTAATAAATAATTAATAAAATAATACAAGATAATTAATTGAACAAGTAGATTGATATAAATACTTTAGAACGAGCTCTCATTTTTCTTCTTTTACGTTTAAGACGTCTAGTTCTCTTTTTCTTCCACTTTGCTCTCATTTTTTAGCGCGCTAGATTAAAAATAATTTCATTATAATAATCAATGGATGAATGGATAGATTGATCAAATGAATGTAATAATAGTACGTAAACATAAACATTACCTTTTTTTTTTAAAGTATATATATTTTTAAAAAAAAATTTTTTGGCAATCTAACATCTTTGAGTAACCAAATTGACGTAAATACCTACCCCACCCTGAATATGTCACGGTGCAACTAAGTGAACTCTTCAAGTAATATACTTTCTTTTATAGGTAAGATATTCACGTCCAACAAAAAACATATGGGCCGAAATTTAAAATTTTAGAAGATTAAGTAATCAGGTTTCTTTTATTGGAAAATTTTTATGCCGATCATAAACCTTTTAGGAAATCATAAGGGAAGATCATTCCGAAATTTACAATTACATAAAGACATATATAAAATGGCCTAACTTTGAAACTTATAACTCAAAACTTATTTAATAAAATGAAAAAAGCAAAAACCGATGGAAATGTAGCTTAGGTCTTTAGCTTTAATTTTATCAGTTTACTTTTTTCTTTTTCTTTTTTAATAAGGAGTTATGAGCTTTTAAAGTCATATGATAATCATTGACCGTTATAGATGTCCTGCACTATATTAATATTAATATGACAATTCACGTACGCGAAAATTAAATTAATCAATCAAAAGAAATCTCACACCTCCACATTAGCTGGTTCAGTTAACAAGAACAAAAGGTCGGGAATTTTTTTCAATTTTTACTGCAAATTTGTGAATATTAATGTTAATTAATTAATGGATTACCGGGTTGTAACGGGTTAATTCTCGTAATGTTGATATTAATACTACCGGGGTTGGACCATTGATGGTCTATTGGTAGTCCATTGGGTCCATTAATGTAACACTTTAACCATATTTAGTATTTTATTAATGACAATGGACCAGTCAATTTGCCAACCCTGAATATTACAGTATTAATATTAATAATATTAATGTTAATATTAATATTTAATAATAATAATAATATTTAATAATAATAACGGGTTACTATTACAGTTAGCCTATTACTATTTATAACACCAAATTCTAATAATAAGATACTATTAATTGCGGTTTCAACGAATTTTATATGTAACACGAATTTTTTTTAGAAACATTAAACCATTCAAAACTCCTAAATTTCGAATAATTCTAAATTCATAGTTTCGGAAGGCAACTCTAGTTTGACTGTCTCCTTTTGACCTAACTGTTAATGTTAATATTAATGAAAATGATCCACAACGACATTTAAAATTATCGATCACTTTGACTATTACTATCCAAAAGTATTTCGACCATTCAAAATTATAATGTATAATCTACACTACGATTTGATAAAACATATTAATTTCATTTATTCTTATATCTTTGAAAAATTTGTAATATCCCTAGCCTTACATGTCTTCTTGTGTAGTTTCTCTGGCATGATACCAGAAAATGAAGCAAAATTTTTTTGTATGCTCTGGTTCACCGGCAATCCTCTCATTAACCAAAACACTGCTACCTATATTTTATGTACCTATACCAATATAAATTTTTTTTTGATTTCCACGACTTGCAACTATCTCGGCGCTTGCTTTTTGATATAACCAGGTCATGATTTGTGATGCAGATCTCGTAATTTCAAACAGACCCGAATCGCATCTACACTGATTTTACTAATAGGTTAGGTATGCCCATGAAATATTTTTGGTGAACATTGTACTTGCGTAGCAATAATGGATTGTCTTGTCCATCTCCTTGTTTGCAAAATGTTATCTTCCAAGGAAATAAACGATTTATAATAATATAACAAAAACCTAAAATTTAAAACCTGTTCATTTGCATCGAACTGGATAATTCTTGTTTCTAACAAAATTTGCGAAAATTGGTAATATATGATTGATGCCAAGCGGCACTCTGATAATGGTTCTCTGAAATAATCTTCATTCAAGACAAAAAACTGTCACTAAATAGGAAAATTTGTCATATTAATAATCATTTATATTACCAAAAATAAATACAATACAATAATAGAATTGAAAATTAATATTAATACAAAGTTTTTACAATCGAATAAACGAAATTATGGATAGTCGGACGAAATTTCCAGCATCATTTGATTTTGCTCGATATTTATCTCGTAACTTATTTTCATTTAACATTTTCCCATTATCATTCGAATCAAAATATGCATACTTTATGCTATATATTTCTAACATCGATATTAATTATAATTATCCATCTCAAGGATAATTTTTAGTCATGTTTTTATGTATTTGGTCAATTTCATTAACAGGTTTACAAAATCACAAGGACACTGTTTCTGTCCCATGAGCTCATCTTGCATTTCGTCATTTAAGAAGGATATTAATGCGGTCTCATTAGTTAGTAAATCCGGATTCCATAAAAATCTCAATCAGTTTTATATATGTTTTTATAAGTTTTGTAGCCGAAATTTTCTTTGGCACATATTAATATGAAATTTCTCTGATTTAGTTCTCTTTTAATATGAAAATAATCCTCATCGTTTAACTCATTGATTTATATAATAATTCGGTAGGACACAAGCGAGCACAAGGGAGACAGACACGCTGAAATTTCGTGATGACATGAATAAATAAAAAAATTACATAGAACAATAATAAGTTACATCCATATACAGTATATACACGTTGTGTGAAATTCAGCCTCGTATTTGATCGATCGATTACAAGTTATTTTAAAAAAATATTTATTTCTTTGAATAAAATTTCAAGAGGATCTGTTGATCCCCATTTTCGTAATAATGGTATATTCATTAAGAAATTAAGAAGGACTCGTCTTCGTAATCTTATATTGTTAGATTTTTTTACGAATAGTGAGCGAGAGAACTAACTATTCATTGATCCGCCTGTGTAATTAGCATGTATTAATAATAATAATAATAATAATAATAACAATTTTTTAAAACCACATGTTTTAGAAAAATCTGGGGAAACATAAATTGCCAAGAATTTAGCCAAGATTCCTCCTTGCACAAGTTTACTAATTTCGTTAGGAAAAATTCATTAGATTTATCTTTGAGAAATTTTATTAATGAAAAGAGAATTTTGATAATGCCAAGGATTGTTGAATGACATGAAACGTAATATTTAATAAGATCCCTATTTGGACAATTAATTATTTTAGACTAATACATTTTATTTTTAAATTTGAAACTGCATTTTTATTCTTATGATTTCCTTTAAATACCAACTTATCTTTTTGTAATAAAAAAATTATTCCTTAGACAGTAAAAATAAAAAGACTTGTATATTATCCTGGTTGATAATACATTCGCTATTAATTAAAAAAGCTGGTTCTTTTTGGATTAACCACTCCATTTAAATAAAGCCAAGAACATAAAAGCACATTATATATAGAATAAATATTTATCATAAATCATATAAATTTTAAATTTATAAAAATGATAACAACAAAAAATTTATCATCGATAAAACTTTATTTGTTTTTAATATTAATAATTTCTCAATTAATATTAAACACACATTCACAATGTTACGAACATCCTAATCCTTTAACACGCGAGAGAGTGTGGAATGATTGCCCCATGGTCGAAGAGAAAGTTCAAGATAAATTGTCAACAACAAGTGGTCCAAATATTGGGAATAGCAAAAATATGTTCGATGTTACATTCAGTTGCGGTGTAAGCGATGCTGTTTTATGTAATAAGGTTAAGACTGCTTTCATGACAGCTGGTGAAATCATTTCCTCGAGCTTGATTTTGAATACGGTTGTAACTGTAAATGCTACATTCACAGATTTTTGTGCACAAAATGTTGTTGATTGCACTACACAATCCGGCTTTGTTACTTTGGGTAAAATTTTATTTTTCAAAAGATTATTTTTTGAATTGTTGTCTCTTTCTCCCTCCTCTCTCTCTCTCTCTAACAAAATAATAATATATCCGTTTTATTGTAGGAGGGGCATCGCCAGCACGTACAATATTTTTACAAGATGATGATGGATTTGTAAGACTATATCCACAAGCACTAGTCAAACAATTTCAATTTCCAAAACATCCAGGATTTGGTCCATTTGATATATTTGCAATGTTTAATTCTGTCGGGTCAAAATATTGGTTTCAAGGTGATCCTCCAATAACCCCCGACCAACAAGATTTCTTGTATGTAGTGTTGCACGAAATGGTTCACGGATTAGGATTTTCGTCAAATTGGCTAAACGATTTCTCAGATGGAATGACTCCTCAGGCATCGTTGAGTGGAACAGATCCAAATGCGCCACTGGTTTTTCTTGGATTTATAGAATCGGCATTTGATAAATATATGATAAACATACCAAAAGGAACTCGAATCTCGGCATCAACCGATCAATTAAATAAATTTTCCGGTAAACCAATTCCAATAAATACCGGTTTACCATTTAAAAATCAAGATGATTTTGTGAATGCATTCACTTCATCACCAAACTACAAATTAGCACAAAATATGTTAACATTATCAACAACTCCAAACAGTCTAGGATTTTTACCACATGATACGAATAAAGCTGACGATTCAATAGTGTTGGAGACCTCTTTGACACCTTTCCAACCTGGTTCAAGTGTTAGTCACGTGGATTATAAAACATACAACAACACAAGTGATTTTCTTATGAAGTTTTTAGCAGATCGTGGAACAGATTTAAATACATTGATTACAATCCGCAGTGCTAACAAAACCGATCAAAACGATCTCAGATTAGCGATTAGTCCTAAATTAATACTTCTCTTGGAAACCTTGGGGTAATTTTTTGCGCATAGCTTTATATGTACCTTTATTTTATAATGTATATATGATTTTTATTTAATAATTTTCTTATTTATAACAGATACACAACACCAAATCATCCAAATCCATACAAGCCGACCATAGACATTACTAGTAATTCCTTAAATTCAACCGATAATTCTATTCAACCTGGATCAACAGCAGCAACAAACACTGATAACGCTAATAATACGAAATCAGATTCCATGATAATTAAACCTAACTTAATACTTACATTCACTTTAATAATACTTTCAATATCAATAAAATCAAAATATTGGCCATAATAGCTATGAGCCATCATAATTGTTGTATAGTCTAGATTTTTTTTTGCAATAAAATAAATCATGTCAATTTAAAACGGTCCATGGACCATCATTAATCAGCTAAACATTAAAGGCAAGTCTCTACAAAAAAAAGTATTAATTGAAATGGATAAGAAAAAAAAATCTCAATCAACTGCTAATATAATATTGTATAAAACTCCAATTTTAAAAATAAAAACGAGTATCGTGGTTTCCAAGCAAGGAATGCTTTCCACAATGAGATACAATAGGAATGTTCTTAATTGATAACTTCCTAATAACTTTTTTTTTAAAAAAAAATCTATGAATTCTATTTGAGACAAAAATTTAATTCAGATATAATTTATTTCGGCCCACATGACTAAAATATTCCCGTGACTTCTTTATAAATTTTACACCACGTGACCCTTCATAAATACAATTTGATTTTTTTTTTTTAATATGAACATTTATGTCATAGGGAGGGAAGGATCTCAAGAAAATTCCTTCACGCTTAACACTTCAAGAACTTTTTTTTAAACATCATCAAATTTTAAAATTGAAATAAAATTTTATCAACAATATTAAAAAGGCTTGCTACTTTACAATTCTAATCAAAACTCTATCAAAAAATTAAAAAAACTGAATCTTTACCTTCTTCATAAGTGAATTTTTTGTGGATTGTTAATTGGACTATCTATCTATTCTTATCTTATTACTATACTATCAAACCTGTAAAAATCTGCCCTATGATACCAACCAAAATATTTGAAATTTAAAAGTTGTATATTTTTTTCTTTTGGTGAAATGGAAATCCACGAATTATGTGGTGGAGAAAATTGCTGCCTTCATTGCAAAAAACTTCCATCAATACAGAAGGAAAATCAATGGAGGAGGAGGAGGAGGAGGATATAGAAGATGAAGAAGATACTAATATTAGCAATAGTAATAATATTATAGAATAGATTTACATCAGGGTTGGCCAAAGAATAGATAACACTCAATAATGGCCTCCTTCCCATGCAATTGCTCTAATGGTTTTTATCTTATATTTAATATTTAATATTTAATATTTATATCATTAAAATCATCATGTATTTTTTTCTCTTGGTTGAATCAAAACAAATAAAATTGCTTGTCATTTGTTATTTAATCCTTTCCTTGAACATGAAGACTTTTGTCACCACTATTGTATATGTTTATTAGAATATTCATGATAATTAATAAATAAACAGCTTCAAAAAATTATTTTTCCTTAATCACAAGTAGCTATTCCCAAAAAAGTAAAATGAATAAATATCATATTGATTATATGTAATTGTTGTTGTTGATCCCACCTACACTTAATATTACGTGTGGGTTATTGTCAACATATGGTGATGTTGGGTTTGATCTATAGGTGTAGGATAATATCCATGTCTCTGATCATAGGTGTTAAATTTCCTCCATCAAAATCATATATATCTATGGATTTTTTTTCCACAGGTGAGACCTCCTCCCCTTATACGTCTACAGTCTTCATAAAATTCCAGAGCCACGCGACTCCCCCCCCGAATTTAAACATCCTCGGGGGTGCAGGTCAGATTGCCTTATGTACACGAAGAAGAAAATGATTAAAATATATTTCAGCATCTACAAGTTTCCATCCTATTAAATTGTCCAAGCACGTACAGTTTCCATATGAGAGGAGGATCTTCAATAGTTGTGTTGAAATTTCTTATAATTATTTAAAATTAATGATTATACAAATTGATAAAAGAATTACCCATAGTGTAAAAGACCTGACAAGCCTTGCATTTATACACAATATTTAGGCTATTTGTAAAAAACACATTCTCAAAACCATACCAATGTTTATTAATGAATGCTCCAAAAAAAATTTAAGACGTGTAGAGAAAATAATTTTTATTGATGTGTTTGTAATGCTCATTAGGAAGAAGAATTACTTAAAAGATTTATTATTTTAGTCGATGTACCAAGTTCATTTATTTGGTATTCAAGATGAAACAGTAAGGAAACAAACTAATTATGTTCTTATTAAAGATAAAATTATAGGAAAATGTCCCAATGGCACATTTAATATGATCTTTGATGGATGGAATTAAGAAATTCAATAGAGGTTAAGATTGCCTGCAACAATGATGCTGAACAAAATCAAATAATATTAGTAATTTGTGCCAAATTTAAGGTTTGGTTTAATGTTGTAGATGTTGTGAAAAGGCCTAGCCAACATTGCTGGATTGAATTAAACTCAATGCTATGAAGCAGGAAAAGGCTTTAAATACTTTGATATTAATTCTATTTTGGGAATTTATTTTTAAAAAGTTAAATGATCTGCAAAAATATCAACATTTTCTTTTTGAAGCATCTAATCCTGGTGTTGTCAAACTTGGGATGTTGCTAATGGATCTTTTGCTGAAGTCAATTTATTAAAAATTAGGAAGAAATTATAGCACACACAGGAAAGAAGAAGAAAAAGTTGATGGTAAGTTGATTATTATGATTAGCATTTATAATCTTATTATTCAGTATCATAGCTATTGTTGTTTATTATTTGGCTAAGAAGGACTAAAAAGAAAAAAAAAAGATTTCTTTTTGTTTGGTAATTAGCTCACTTTCATTCTGCTTTCTTTTCCTAATGTTTATTATTTTTCTCCTTCTTGGTAAATTTCATAAGTAGTTTTCCCTTTCCTTGAATAAATTTCAAGTGCTTGAATGCCAGCCAATTTAAAAACATAAGGAGCCATTTTTTTCACCTCGCTCTTTCTTCTGATAATACTGCAGTCTTGGGTTCTGTGTAAGGTTGTGGGTGAAACTCCTCCAGAAATCAATCGACAGAGTTTCGACATGTTACACATTAATTGTTTATTAGAGTTTTCCCATTTGGGGGTTTTGTCAATCTTCAGAGTTTTGACAAGGTATATACCAATTGTTTGACAGAGTTTTGACAGTTTCGGCAAGCAACCTTAGTTTTGTAGTAGATCTGATGTAAATTAGTTCCATCTTTATATTTTTATAATAAGAGTAATACTACAATACTATATACCACTCAAAGAAAACAAAGACAATAGAAAGGACATTGTTAGTAATAAAATAGTGATGTTAAAACAATGTTGAACCCTGAAATCCTTTGTAGTACAAATGTTCACTTTTTGTTGAGTTTGTTTGCAGCATGCCCCATATATATAATTATAACGGAAAGTACAATGGACCTTGATATTAATGGAAACACAAATATTTTGATTGTATGATATGCAATTCATTACCTGATTAGAATATAAATTACATGCAATCACACAAGATACTGAAGTCATTAAAAGAATATAAATTATTGTTAAATTTATGCAATATTCAACCAACAATGGATAAAATAAAGTGAGAAAAAGAAAAAAAATTTTCGCTAGGAATCTTTTTTTAAAAAAATCTACCAAAAAAACTTTTTTCTTTTTTTTTTTTTTTAAAGAATTAAGAAATTTAAATATTCTTTAAAAAAATCAGGCGCAGGGAACAATAGCTTCATTTGGTAGATGAAGGAGGATATTTCGGTTTTTGATTTTTCGTCATCATCATGATTTGTTATTATGAAAATTTGCCACTGATTGTTACTCGAAACGTCCAAAGTTGGTTCAACTTCTTTACTTTGTCATCTAATTGGCCATATATTATGTGAAACATCATGGCAAATACTTTTTACAATATTATAATTTATTCTATTATTTATTATTATTTATTATTTACACAATTAATTATTACAATAATATGAATTGGTATAATAAAATCTGCTTATCATTAAATTTTGTTTACTAATATATTTTTTTTGTGCTGAGCGTCTCTCCTATTTTATCCAGCTTTCCCCTTAATTTAATTTTTGCTACTCTCTACCACTCAATATACACTTTATACTTCCCCTGTACTTCGCGGGAGTTCGAAGGCGGAAACTTGAAAACTTTTTATATATATACATTATTTAGAAAAAAAAATAACAGCAAAAAATAAAACTAAAAAAATAATAATTTCTCTTTTTGTTACATAAATATAAATTAAAATATAAATTTAAATATAAAGTGCTTTTTTTCTTTTTTTACGTACAAGAAAAACTTTTATATTATATATACACGCTTTTTTATATAATTCTTTTTTTTTAATTATTTATAAGCAGTTATTTATTAAGAGGAGATCCAACCAAAACTGTGTAAGTTCCATTACAGTCAAATTGCAAATGTTTGTAATTCAACACTAATTATTTTCTTTTTTTTCTTTTCGATTTTTCTCCTCATCTTACACTTTATAGATAAAATATTTTATAATCTTTTCATCTTTAAACCTTCATAGAAATAAATATATATAAAAATGTCTGAAAACAAAAATAACATTAGAGTAGTGTGTCGTTTTCGTCCACAAAATTCTCGTGAAATAAGGGAAGGTGGTGTTCCCATTATATCATATGATGATAATGGAGAAACATGTCGTATGGAGGTTAGTAAAACATAACGTTTAACGCATAAAAACACATAATGAATAATGTTTAATATGTGAATGATTGATTTTTTGATATAATTAATTAATTACTTTATTGTAACAATAGCGTTAATAATTAATTAATTAATAAAAAATCTTTTAGGGTAAAGAATTTCAAGGAAATTTCACATTCGATTGTATCTTTCCACCAGAAACTCAACAAAAAGTAGTATTTGATGAATCCATAAAACCTATTGTTGATGGCACGTATAATTATTTATTTATGCATATTATTTATTTTATTTATTTTTGCTCCTTGCAGACTAATAATATAATTTGCTACTTCTACAGATGTAATTTCTGGTTATAACGGTACTGTATTTGCTTACGGTCAAACTGGTTCTGGTAAAACGCATACTATGATGGTAAGCTATTTAAGTGAATAAATAAACGTTTTATTTTTATCATTATTATCTTCCTCAATTGTATAATAAAAATTGTTCTTTCTCTATTATTATTATTATTATTATTATTATTATTATTATTATTATTATTATTATTATTATTATAGGGAGATATGGATAAAGATGATATGAAAGGTCTTATTCCACGTATTGTTGAACAAATTTTTCATTGTATCATTGCCTCTCCACCAACAACTGAATACACAGTAAAAGTATCATATATGGAAATCTATATGGAAAAGATCCGTGATTTACTTAATCGTATGTATTATTATTGTTGTTATTTATTTACTTTATAAATTTATTCTTTTCTCTTACACACAAACAAACTCACTATATATATATTCATTAAATAGCACAAAATGATAATCTTCCTATTCACGAGGAAAAAAATAGAGGTGTATACGTCAAAGGATTATTGGAGGTTTATGTCAGTTCCATTGAAGAAGTTTACGAAGTAATGAAACGTGGTGGTAGTTCTCGTATTGTTGCTTATACAAGTAAGTTATACACAGCTTCTAATAAAATTATTAAAATAATAATAAAATAATAATTTAAAAGATAATTCTAATTTTATTCATTTTTTTTTTATTTTATAATAGACATGAATGCTGAAAGTTCACGGTCACATTCCATCTTTGTGATCACAGTTGGTCAAAAAAATCTTGCCGATGGTAGTGTTAAAAGTGGTAAATTGTCACTTGTAGATTTAGCTGGTTCTGAAAAGGTATATTTAATTAATTAATTAGTTAATGTTGATGTCAAAACAATGTTATTGAATGATATTTGTAAATATAATCTATTATTAATTATCATCTCTCGCCCATCTTTGTTCCTTTTTAGGTCGGAAAAACTGGTGCTTCTGGTCAAACTTTAGAAGAAGCTAAAAAAATCAATAAATCATTATCTGCTTTGGGTATGGTCATTAACGCTTTAACTGATGGCAAGGTAATCAATCAATCAATTCCTATCATTAATTTTTTTTACATGAATGATCTATGACTAATTAATTAACAATATCTTTACAACAAAAAAAAACCATTATATATAGTCTACTCACATTCCATATCGTGACAGTAAACTTACTAGAATTCTTCAAGAATCTCTTGGTGGTAACTCTCGAACAACTTTGATTATCAATTCTTCACCATCATCATTCAATGAGGCTGAATCTTTAAGTACTTTGAGATTTGGTATGAGGTAAGCATGCTAACAGAAAAAAAATATATATATTATATATTTACATAATGATATTGTTTTATTATCATCATCATCATTCTCATTCTTATTGTGATTTTATAGAGCCAAGTCCATCAAGAATAAAGCTAGAGTTAATGCAGAATTAAGTCCAGCTGAGCTTAAAGCTCTTCTTAAGAAAGCCAAAAACGAAGCAGTCACTTTCCAACAATATATCACAGCTCTCGAGGGTGAAGTTGGAGTTTGGCGTAAAGGTGGTAACGTTCCAAAAGAACAATGGGCTTCAATGGATAAAGTTACATCTGGTGCGATTACTACTGCATCATCACCAACAAATCCTTCAGTTGATGCCATTAAGAAAGATGCTGAAGTTACCGATTCTAGACCTGGTACCCCAGTTCCAATACTAGATAAAGACGAGCGTGAAGAATTTTTGAGAAGAGAAAATGAACTCACTGATCAAATCGCTGAAAAAGAAACTATATTGGCTGATCAAGAAAAATTGATTGCTGACATAAAAGAAGAATTGAACGAGTTCAAAGATCGTGAACCAACTATTACAAAGGTAATAAATAATGATGATATTTATGGACTATATTAAAATATGATAACATAATAATAATAATAAATGAAATATTGATATTAATAATAATTAAAAAATTTTCTAGGAAAACAAAGAAATGGCATCAGAACTCAATGAACTTAAATTACAGTTGGAGAAAGTTACATATGATAATAAAGAAGGTGCTATTACTGTTGATAGTTTACGTGAAGCCAATATTGAATTAAATAATGAACTAGAAGCACTTAAGGTATGCATATGTTTGATATATGTGCGTGCGTATCATTATTAACAACAATATTTATAATAATAATATCTTGTTTCCCGCCCAAATACAAATAGAAATCGCTTATAGAACTTAGAATGGCACAAAAAGAAGGCGACAAAGAGCAAAAGAAACAAGAGAAGATGGCACAAATGCTTGCTGAGCTTGATCCATCTGGAGTTATCTCGGCCAAGGAGAAACAAATTCGTGACACATTACTTAAACTCGAGTCGATTGATGGTAATAACACCACAACATTAACTCTCGAAGAAATCACAGCATTACGTCGCGAATTATCTAACTCTAAGTCATTGGTGGAGCAACATGAACAAACAATTAACGAATTACATTATGAAAATGAACATTTAACCAGAAAACGGGATGAGCTTGAAATTCGCCTTACAACTTTAGAACTTGAGTATGAAGAACTTTTAGGTATAATTTATTATAATATATATATATATATTTTAAAATGGATGTTTATTAAGTGTAAAATGAATATACAAATATATAATATATAATAATCTATTTTGTGAACAGATAAAACAATTGCTGAAGAAGAAGCAAACAATAACATTGATATTACTGAAACGATAGCAGAATTAAGAGTAGGTTTATCGGATAAATTAATAAGATTATATTTTATATTATAAATAATTTTATAAATATATTTATAAATATATTTATAGGGTAAATTGGAATCACAATTTGTCGCCAAGAAAGAAGTACAACAAAAAGAAATAGATGAATTAAAACAAGAATTGGAAAAGAAGAATGAAGAGTTACATAAACTCAACAGGTAAAAATCAAAAATGATCTTATATATCTATCTATATTTTTTAATAATAATATTTTTCTAACGAATAAATGTATAATTTTAATTTTTATAGTGCACTTGCAGATTTGAAGAGAGCCAATGAAGAATTACAAGTAAAGTGTCACGTAATTATTTTAAACATAAAATCATTTACTTTTCATAAAATAATTAAAATCGATTATTTATTTCTCTCTTTCTCCTTCTCTCAAATTTTATAATAGTCTGCAATTTCTAGTCAAGAAATTAAACCAGATGGCAAAAACGTTGTTGAAAAAGAAAAGGATATGGAAAGGATCCGTAAAACAATGGCGCAACAATTGTCCGATTTTGATGTCATGAAGAAGGCCCTTATGAGAGATTTACAAAATCGTTGTGAAAAAGTTGTTGAACTCGAAATTTCATTAGATGAAACTAGGGAACAATATAACAATGTTTTGCGTAATAGTAATAATAAAGCACAACAAAAGAAGATGGCTTTCTTGGAAAGAAATTTAGAACAACTTACAAATGTACAGAAACAAGTAAGTAGTGGTTTTAAGAGATATGTTGAATAATACATAAGCGTAAATTTATATTTTTATACTAATATTTATTATTTATTTTTTAGCTTGTAGAACAAAATTCTTCACTAAAGAAAGAAGTTGCCATTGCTGAAAGGAAACTTCATGCAAGAAATGAACGTATCCAGGCTTTGGAAACTTTACTGCAAGATGCACAAGAAAAACTCACAACACAAAATCAAAAGTAAACGTTTATTTATTAATTAATTTTGTTTTATCTTTTCGCGAATTATCGATAATAATAACAATATGCTAATTAATATCATCCACTTTAATCCCATTCAAAAGATTCGAAGCTCAGTTACAAGCAGTTAGAGAAAGATTGGAACAAGCAAGATGTAAGTCGAAAATATATTTGTTTGAATATAATGATAAATATTTCAAGTCGCATAAACACACTAAACTTATTATATAAAATTACTCCAAATTTTTTTAGCCCAAAAAAGTAACACACTTGCTTTGAACTTTGGACGTATTGCTAAACCTCTCCGGGGTGGCGGCGGTGTTGGTAAGATTTTTAATAAAAAATTGTAAAATCATATATATGTACATTAATAAAGAATGAACGACTTTGCTAACATTATAACTTTTTTAATAATTTTTAAAATGTCAGGAAATTAGGGAAGATAATTTGAGCTTGTAATCTGTAATCCCATCAATTGTGGAAATAATTTTAAATTTTTAAATTATTTGTAAGATTTTTATTGCGTGTTTTTCCTATATATATAATATATTTATTTATTTATCGTAAATTGTAAACTTAGTTTTTTTTTATCAAAATAAATTAGTATATATTTATTAGTAAAAGATTACTATTAGTTTATTTGGATAATTTTTTTTTTAAAAAAATAATAATAACGTAGTATTAACAAAAAACTCTTTTTTTAAATTTCGTTAAAATTCGGGTTTTTTTATTCGTTTTCTTAGATTGTTCGAAATCACACAAACACACAAAATTTAATTTGTATTTAATTTGTAGTTTATTTTTTCTCGTAGGGCTTTTTAAGTTTTTTTTTATTTGGTTTTTTCTAATTGAATTTTTTATTAGATTTTATTTATTTTGGATTCTTTTTTTTTTTTATGTTGTTTTTTATGGGTTTTATGATTTGGACGAAAATAAAAAATTTTTTTTAAATTTTTAAAAATCAACTGTGTTTCCCCCAAATTAGACAATTACGATGACGACAACGACGATTACTATAATGATGATGATGATTAAAAATATTTGATTGTAATAGAATTCGGCCTTGATCTTTCTTGATTTGATATTAATTATTATTATTATTATTATTATTATTATTATTATTATTATTATTAGTTGAATCAATCAAAAAAAAATATTATTTTTACTTTTCTTTGATCTTTTCGGTTCAACTATTGTCGATAGTTTGAAATTTTGCTAATTAATTATCATATCTTTGTTATTTTTCATTTCAAAAAAAGAACAATACGAAGAAAGAAAGACCCCAAAAAACCTTTATTCAAATAATACAAAATAAAGAAATAAAAAAAAAGATTATTTCTTTTTCGTTCAACAAAATCGTGTTTGTTCGTGTGCGCGAGTGCACGTATGTATGTAATAGTTTATTTAATTTAATGAAGTATATTTAATTAATCATAATCAATTATTCTAACGTGGAAAAAGAAAGGAGAACAAAATTCATTTATTATAATGATTTCAGTTTCCATGGGTCGTAAACAAGGAAAAGTGAAATTTTTCAATTGTCAAAAAGGCTATGGGTTTATTATTCCTAACGAAATTATCGGTGATAATAGTAAAATAGAAGGTATGAAATGTTGTTGTTGGATTGGAAGGAATCGGAAAAAACGTTATAAAAAAAATTTACGTGATTCATTTATTTGTATATTTTTTTGTAAACATATATAAAGAAGTTTTTGTGCATTATTCTTCGATCTATAAAGATGGAGAATTTAAAAGTCTTGCAGAGGTAATTTTTAATTAATTAAATTCTTTGAACCTCCTCCCTCTCTCATTTTTATTCTTCCTCCTGGTCTAACTAACGATTTAAATTAATTTATGTGTGAACTAAAATGTGTTAAAGGGCGAAGAGGTAACTGAACTGACTAACTAACCATATTAGTCAATTACATATACGTAAGATTTGTTATGATTCGTTATTAATTAATGATATCAATATTACATTATATATTATGGTTCAAGGTTGAATTTGAATTGATGCGAGGACCTAAAGGATTTCAAGCTACTAATGTTAGTGGCCCAAATGGAATTTCAGTTAGAGGTGCTGCACCTAGTCAACAACAACAAATCAAAAGGTAATTATTATATTATATAGTTTGAATAAATTGAATGGAATTTAATTTTAATTTTATATATTTGAAATTTATTTAGTGCAAATTACATTGGATTTAATTCAAAATATTTAGATCAAAACAATTATAATAACAATACTGGTAAAAGTTTAATTTATTGTATTTATTCATTCTTTTAGGTAAACAGTGAATGGTGAATGGCAAATAGTAAATAGTAATTTATTTTATATATTAATATATTCCTTTAAAAATTAAGGTTTTAATGCAGCAATAGCAATTGGACAACCTTATTCAAGTTTTCATTCTACTTTTATACCTCAATCAGTAGTATCACAACGAAACACATCACCAACTTTAACATCACAGCCTCAACAATACCCTCAAAGATATTCTCAAAACCTTCATTCTAATATTCATCACCATCAACATCCACCGTCACTACAACATTTGCCACAACAGCAACATCATCATCTTCCAACAAACCATCATGTTCATATTCCACCACCGCTATCACCACCATTACCTCGTCCTTCCTCACATTTAATTCACTCTCACACTCATTCATCGTCACTACCATCATCATCACTTCTTCATCACCCATCGGTTCCAGTTCCACCAACACTAGAACCTCATTACACCACCGCCATCGCTTCTTCTCCGCAATTTACTAATTATCCACAACATCTTCAAACCTTTCGATCAACAGTAATCTCACCATCTCAATATAATCCCGATAACAACAACAACAACAACAACAACAACAACAACAATAATAATAATAGTAATAATAACGGTAATAGTGGTACCGAGAATAATCTTAATCTTAATCTTAATCTTAATCTTTCCACCAACACTACTACTAATGATAATGACAATATGAATGCTACTAGTGCCACTGCTATAAATTATCACCACAACACTCTATTGAAAGGGGGAGTTCCAACATCGACTAATAATGATAATAACAATACCACACCAACAATGTTTGGAATTCATCATTGAAGAGAAATCTTTTTTATTGTCATTCGTCACCATCCAATTTCATTAGTATTGGTCTCAGAAAAAATCCCCGATTTTTACGTACAATTATATATTTTTAAAAAATTATGACTGTTAGTATTATTTAATTTTTTTGCTTAGATTTATTAGTTTTTTAATTAATTTTTTTATTGCTTTTTTCAATATTTGAGTTAGTATATTATTATTAGTGTTAAAAGCATTATAAGTATAATATGTTAGTTTTTATATGAATTAGTTATCAGTGTAATGGCGTTTTTTTTTTCTCCTTCCTTCACGACGAGATAAAAATATAAATTTTTGCATTATTCATCTCTTGGTCGCGCAGAATTGTACTAATATTTATCATCGGAAGTAATCTATTCCCCACATCTTCATGAATTTTCCGGGCCATTATTAGAATAAAAGACCTGAGGCACTTTTGTTTCTTAAAATGGAGATCACCCATTACTACTTATTATTATTAGATGAAAAAAATGAACGTGAAAGAAGAGATTTTGTTTGTTTCACTATTACTATTACCATCTTTAAAAGAAAAGATGTAATAATTAATGTATGTACGTACACATAACAAAAAAATTAACTGATAATAAAATTAACTGAACAAATCAATTTCTTTCTTCTCATTTTTATTTATTATTTTTACTCGTAATTTTTTTATGTGACAAATAAAATTTTAAATTGGATTTTGAATGAATGCAAATTTGAAAAAATAACGTGGGGAAGAAAAATTAAAAATTAATATTGATATTAAATATTTAGTGTTTATGTTTTTTGTGTAAATCAAATTAATTTCATTGAAAACTTAAAAAATTGGAGGTTACAAATAATAATAAATTTTTAAATAATTAAATAGTAAATAGTAAAAAAGCAAAATGTATTAGTATTTATTTCTTATGATTTGAATAATGCCTAAAAAGAAACAGAAAAAAAATGGCGTGTGAGGAGATGAAGATCAACTAATCATAATTATATTTTAAATAAATCCATTAACATCAATGATGCTGATGATATAAGTTGGTGTGTGTGAAAAAATTGTATGATTAAAATAAAAATCGTGGAGAAATAGTCCGATGTGCAATTGTTTCGGAGAATTTTTTCATCCCCTCCTCATCCTTATTTTTTACTCTCGCTTTCTTGATTCATTTACACATCAAACTAGGTAAGATGGCGGAAGATCTAGATTATATCTGTGTGGTAATAAATAATCGATATATGTGATGATTGCAAAAAGATGATGTTTTATTTATTTATTATTAATTCACATGTGTGTTTATGAAATTTTAGGCGAAAAGATACAAATCTTATCATGTTAATATCTATCATTACAAAACCTACTTAATTAGGGCTTATTATTATTGAAAAAAAATTTCTGTCGCTGAACATTATGTCACAAAGAAATTTCAGGGTCCAAAATAGCCGACATCACAATTGTACTACCAATATATTCGATATCCCCGGGAGTAATAAATCCAAAAGTATAAATTCAATAAAAAGATTTAGTTTTTTTCCTTCTGACTTGTTTTCAATTTGTTGATGAGATTTTTTTTTAGATGGTGGTAAGTTGTCTATGCCTTTAATTTATTCTCTTTTTTAATTAACATAAAATTATTACGTTATTCGATTGTTATAACGATCATCTAAACTAGTTAATTAACAATAAATTTTTTGCAGTGTTGGACATTGGGTAACATCCAAGCTAGTAAGACTATTTCTATCCGTATATATCCCAGTGAGATTAATGTTTTTGCTTAAATCGATGGATATGAATGATTTCCTTGTAGGAACAATATAGAGTTTTTAATTTTGGGTTCTTGCTTGAGTCTAAGGCGGTTTATTCCCTCAGCAATGTAAATTCTTCAACTCTGGATTTTGCTTACGTCAATATATTCAATCTAATTACTGGAATGTAAAGAGTATCTAATTTGGAACAATTACTAATGTCTAAACCGATTAACTTGTTAAAGAGAAAGTCGAGCATTTCTAGATTGGGGAAGTCATGCAAATCTAAGAAGAAATCTTCTCATTTTATATCAGGAGCACTTACCTAATAACTTAGTAGAGCTTGCTCTTTTTCTCATTTGGAAATTTCGGTCCAATTATTAATGTTACAGGCTTGTTATAATATTCTTCATACTCTCAATTAACAAAAACTTTGTTTATTTAATTTTTATTTGATTGATTGTATATATATGCTTTCATTCCCTTGGGATAATTTTATCATTCTCGGAATTGCTACAAATGTAAATAGCTTTACTGTGGCTCAATTTATTATAAATAAAAATAATAATATATCAAGTATATTGGTTAATATTTGATATTGTTAACCGCACAGACTGACGGTTCAACAAATGACCTCTTGAATCTCAAAGGCATATTTAATATCATTTAAGAATTTCACAACATTTAACATTATCTTCAGATACTTTTCAATTTCTTAATTCCATCAAAATCCATACTAAGTGTGTCATTAAGGCTCTTTCCTAGCAATTCATCTTCATAAAGAACATAGTTAACTTGTTTCCTTACTGCTTCATCTTGAATATTAAACAGAAGAAATTGCAAAGAACTAAGATGATAGAATATGTGTTGATTAGAATGTGATACATGTAACTATAATGAACTAAAACATCAACATTAATGAACAACTAGTTTTTTTTGTTCTTCAGCTAATTTGGATTTTTTAATAACAACTTCTCTCTCTAATTTTGCTTTTGATAGATGATATTTATAAATTTTTTTTTATAAATTTTTTGTCTTCGCAAGCATTATAATGGAATGTTGACAGGCGTCACATGGTCTTATATGTTGAATCTGTGGAGTTGATTGGTGTCATAATTTGCAAAAAGCGTCATATTTTAATGACCTCAACATACCATCTTCTTCAATCCCAGCAAGGAAATCTTTCTGAACTGATTTATGGCTCATTTCTTCTGGTATGAATATAAGTGGTTCATTCAGTTAATCGATTGAAATTTCTTCTGGGGCTTGGGAATACATTGATTTCAACATAGTTTCCAAGAAAACTTCTTTACTACTCAGCAACATTTTTCATCAATCGATTGATTACCTTTTCTGATTTCCATTGTGGCATTCTTTTGGTATCATTTTTGACATAAGATCATTATTTATCGGATGATTTTAATATTTTCAAAATAGGTTTTGCCAATTTCCAGCATGTTTGTTGACAGAGAGGCACCTCTTGATCTCTGCAATAAATATCTCCCTTGTTTTCTTTTACTAGTCCAGTTGAGCCATTAAGAAGATATCTTGCTCCAATTTAGGAGTGCTTGAAAGGATTCACATAATTATGCAAACCTTTCTTTTGGAAACTTTCTATTTTATATTGCGAGCTGCGTTTAAGTTTAGATAGCAAATATTTTATTGTCACAACAGTAATTCCAGCAGAATCATGGTTTCAATTAATTATTAGAGTGGCAATGCAATGGTAAAGAGTCTTGGCGATATTAATGAATTGTGTTTTGTTAAGTTAAAAGATACATTTTATTCTTTAATCTGTATCTTTGCATCTAAAGAAAATGTTTATGTTTTTTTATTCGACTTTTTTACAACAAACCTCAATCAAAGCTAATGAAGTCTACGTCAATGATGTTTTACAGTAACCCATTCAAAGAATATTGTTCATTTTCAATCCCTTTTTGTCGCCTTAATTATGTAAGAACTCGCAAATTATATGCGTTACTAATGCTTAAACTTCTTTTAGAGTTCCCAAATTTTTAAAATTCCTCATTTGTATTCCAAATCAACAATATAGAATAAAAGAAATTTATTAAAAGGCTGTCTATATATCAAAATTACTAATCGCGTTTAAAAATTCGTTGTCATTGAGACAAGGTTTGACCGTACTTGAAACTCTACATAATGAAAAAAGATTAAATTTATACCATTGTGTATATATAGCTTAGGTTTTATAATCCTAGAACATATCAATAAAAATTTTTAATTTTAATGACTAACAAAAAATTTTTTGCTTTTCCATTTACTGCAGTTATTTAATTTTTATCATAAAATATATACAAGGGCTTAAAATCGTGAAAAATCACATGTTTATTTTTGAGAATATAAGCTACAAACAAACTAATGTAAATTTCTTTTTTTTTGTTATTTATATAAAATTTTTATTCTTATTTATTATTTTATGTTTTATATTTCACGTATTTTAAAACATAATGATAACGTTCTGCTATGTTAATAAATTCCTTTCCCATATGTAAAATTGAAGATTTTCAATCTTAGCCCCCATCCTTAATGTTATTATTGCATATGGATTGTGCTGTTTCGGTAGGTGAAGAACTATATTGCTTTTATTAAATATGTTAAAAACATATAAATAAATGAAAGAAAAGACAATTTTGTTGACTTAAATTTAAATTTCCTCATTATTATGCATATTGTTGTTATTATAACTTTTATTTCATATAGGGACCTAGTGTGAAGAAAGTAATTCACCCCTGTGAGGTCAATTCTATAATAGTCCAAAAATAAAAATGAAAACTTCCTTGACATGTAACAGCAGCATATATATCTACATACTTTGAATGCTTGCGTTACGAGAAAATTATATCTTTCCTGCTCGTGCGTTCTGAGCATCATAAAAATTTTATATGGCTTCGCATTTGAAGGATATGCAGTTCCATCGGATCTACCTGCATATGCAATCTGACTTGTTATCAATTTTTTGCAATGCCTGAATGGTATTATTACCACTAAAATATCAAATGAATTACTGTAAGCAACGATGCCATTACAACACAACAAAGAAAAAAAACTTAGGGCTTATAACTAATATTAGGAAACTTTGCGTGAATATATGCTGTCGTGTACTCTTCACCAGACTTTCTATTTTTTAAGGGATTAATATTCTCAGCAGGTTTTGGTGTACTTTGAAGATATTTCATCTTTCCCAAAAAGTTTTGCAAAATCACTTGATTTCGATATGTGTAACGTAAGATCTGATTGGGCACTAATTTGATTGGCTACGAAAACATGGCAAGAACTTTATTAACTGGTGATATAGCCTCCAAATTATAGGATAATACTGTCGTTTTTGTGATTTAATATATAGGAACTTTTAAATGGAAACGAGGACAACTCACTCAGGGTCAATAACACTACAAGTTATAATAATAAGACAGTTATATTTCTACCCAATCAAAATAATGAACAAGGTTTCTAGTGTACTCGGGGTGGTGTGACAAGAGTTGAAAATAACTGAGTTTTTGGATCAAAGTTCTCAGAATTATCCTTGCTTCTATCAAAAAGGCCCATATATCACGAAGTTGTATCCGAATGACAGTTTTGTAGATACCCAAAAATTTATTTCAAATATTAAAGGCCGAAGAAAATATACAAAATTACAACGAATTTTAAAAACCGATTATTCATTTACATGACGTGAAAAAGCATGAATCATCCGCAATTCAAGTCGATTCTGTTATGGGGAACAACTTTTACTTGGTACACAATATTGGTTATTACGCTAGTTTTTGTGTTTTTCAAAGACAAGGCTAAAAACACAAAAATACACTTATTTCAACAAATCCCAATTGGTTATCTACTATCTGAAATAAATCAACTAATATATAAACGGTTTTTTAAATATGAAGTTCACGAAGCAAAATAAATACAAGTTTTATTTCTTTCTGTGTAATTGAATGGATATCCATTGGATACTCAGATGCTAACCCAATCATCTAGATATCAGATTTATTTGAACGGATAATTGGTAGATATATGAATATAGCCACTAATACTAATTATCCATCCTGATAGATAATTTTAATATTATATACAAACTCAATAATTTTTCCATGATGACTATTTTATACCTTATATGTCATTTAATGACAATAATTAAATCGTTCATTAAAAATAATATATACACATAAACCACTACTTCTAATAGTTCAAATATCTACCGTATAGTCCCGTCACTACTTTAAAACAATTGAAAATTATTTGTTACACGGTATAAATGATTGTAAAAAGGGGATGCTATCTTTCAGACTATTGACAGGTAAAGGTTTTTTATTCTATGAAATTTTGTGTAAAATTAAATTACAAGATCTTTAACAAAATTCCACTAATATATTTTGAGATTCAGGACTGATTGCTATTATTTGTAAGATTTTTAGAATTTGGTCGAATCTTTTTTTTCTATAACAACTATTTAAGTTACAACAAGCAGTGTATGAAATTACATATCGGAAATCACCTAATCAGACCTAAATTTGTACTAGTTACACGACTAAAACATGGATAACAAGAACCAATTAAAATCATGTAGATCGTTATAGAATTAATATATTTTTCCGCAAAATCATCGCGATCTCCAATTTAGTTTCTAAATGTGCATAACCAATAAAAATTTTAAAATATATTGCAACAGAAAAAAATTACACGATTATGGGGACGATTACATATATTATGCTGGTGAAATTCCAAGAGCAAAGAAAAGAATCCGATGTGGAATTGTTTCGGATAATTTTTTATTTTTACCCTCCCTCATCTTTATCCTTCTCGCTTTCTGATTTACGCACGTGCAATTATATCTACGTGATGATTGCAAAAGAATGATTGATGTTCACGTGTATGTTTATATTTTTCTAGATTAAAATCTTTAGGCAAACAATCACCTTAATTATTTTATTGACCTAGTTGTAATCATCACATTTTTTATTTATCGTTACAACAACTTGCTTAATTAGGATTCATTGTTTTTCCCAAAGAAATTTTTTTTTCTCTATAGCCGACAACGCACATCATATCATGTCACAGAAAAAATTTTAAATAATGTAAATATTGTTTTAAAACTTTTTGGGTTAATGTTAAATAAAAAGTTCAATGTTTCATTGTCATTATTACTTGTTTATTCCTTTTTCTTTTTATCTTAAAGGGGGTGGGTGATTTTAATTAATATTAATTAACTGTTAATATGAAAGAAAAAAAATTAATATTATTCAATTTGTACAACAAAGATTTTTTTTTTTGGAACTCTCAAATTCCAAATTCTCAAATAAATAAAAATGAGAATAAGAAAAAAGGTTACATTATAAAAAAAGAATTATGGCGACTAGTCCATTATAATAATATTTACATCACGTGTTGTCGAATTTTTACACACGTCAAAAAAAAAATTAAACACGTAGAAAAACAATCAACACTTAATATTTGTCATTGTTCTCGGATTTTTTTTTCTTTAAAAAAAAGCGTGTTTTTATTATATATTTTTTTTTTAATTTAAATTTTAATAATCAAATTTTAGAGTTTTTTTGTTTTTTTTTGTTTTAATAAAGTAGGAATTAAAAAGCATAATTTTTTTTAAAAAAAAGTAGAAATTAAATAAGTTTTTTTTTTTTTTTTTAAATAACCAAAAAAATAAAAAATATGAAAGAAAATTTACAATTAAAATTTTTTTTTTATATTACAAAATATTTTTAAAAATAAAAATTTCTTATAAAAAAATCTATTTATAAATAAAGAAGGGAAAAGTAATATTTATATTTATATATATATATATATTATGTCTATATACACACAATCTTCTATTAAAAATAATTATTAAAATTATAATAATTAAAAATTATTAATTAAGTATTATTGTAGTTAAATTATATAGTTCTTATTAAATAAATTAAATAAATTTTTTTTAATCGATAGTCGTTGTTGTGGCTGTTGATTTATTTTTACCTTCTAATGCTGCTAACGCACTGTCAACTCCTCCACTATTTTGTTTTATATGTGATTTACTAAAACTACCCCTTCGTTGTTCACTAAAACTATCTCTTCGTTGTTCACTAAAACTGCCTCTTCGTTCACTATTGTTAAAGTCCTTCATTGCTTTTTTTGTTGGTGTGTTTTTGGCAGAACTTGAATGTGTATGACTTCTTGATAATCTATCATATACATTAACACATGGTGGTGTTTCTGATCTTGTGTGTGTATGATGTTGTACTATTGATCCTCTACGTTCACCATTTCCTGCCATGATGCCTGCTACTTCTTCACTTTCAGGTGAACTTCTACCAAATGAGTTTTGAGAAAGATGTGAAACATCTTTGGATCCTCGTCGTACCATTGCCATACTGCTTTGTGATCTTCTCTTAACATCCATAACGACTCCTCCGAAATATCCACTATCACGATGTTGTGTATTTTCTTCGTTATTATCGTTAGCAGCCCCAGTGGTGGTACTGTTGTTGTTATTTTCAGTATAGAATCCCATACTTGTTGAACTATTTTGTCGACTTACTGAAGTTGTTGTTGGTGTGCTTGGTGGTAAACTAATATCATCATTAGATGATTTATTGCTATCATTAGTATATCTCTTTAATCTTTTACCATTTGAATTTCTTCTGCTCATACTATTACTACCAGAAAGACTACTTGTACTATTCTCTCTTTGTAATGAAGAAGGAGTTGCAGTGGTTTGCCTTGTTTCTATTATATTACCATTACTGCTGTCTTTAGTACCGGTTGAATCAATTGATGATTTTCTTCCAGTCTCAGAATTCTTTAGCCAGCTTGGTGGTAATTGTGAACGTGAATTTTTTCTGGTCATGATTTTTGGTGCCTCCTCAGTAGGTGATGCAATCACAGTTGAATCGTCATGATCAAAGAAATAGGAGGATCCACGTCTAGAATGTGACGCATTAGGAGTATTAGGCGTATTAGGGGTTCCACTGCCGCTAACCGAAACAGCTGCCTCAACTTGTGCAAATGCTGTCTCGTAGATACGATCAAACAATGAAATTGTATCCACTGCATCATCCTCTATTGTCTTTATTTTTAATTCTTTATTTTCTTCTGTTACTGGACTTGGTGATCTTCCCCCACGTTTCAATTTTTCTTCAAGATCTTTATTCCTTCTCTCATATTCGACAGTTGCCAAAACCGCTGCTCTACGCATAGCCAATAATGTTTTGCGCAACTCCAACATTGTTGTTTCTTGTTGTGCAAGTGTCATCTGGTTCGACCATGCACCGCTACGTAATTTAATAATATCTTCAAAGAATGATTCTAATACTGTTTGGGCCTCGATTGGATCCAGGTTCCTTAAAATCTCAACTGCTATATCATATGATGCTTCAGGCGTAACATCCTCAGGCAATGTGAATGACAATTTCTTTTCAGGTTTACCACTATTTTTACGTGGTGGTGTTGATGGTGATTTATCATCATTATTGACTTTTTCCACTGAGGATCTTCTTCTTTGTTTTTCCGTTCCTGCTGCTGCAGTTCTTGCAGCTTCAGATTGTAATGCACGAATTCTAGCATTCATATAAGTAACTTCCGAATTTATCACTTCAATCCTATCATCCAAATCTTGGTTATTGCCATTATCACTGTTATTATCAGAGTTCTCAGCAGTAATGGTTTTTTCACGTTCACAAAGTAACACATGTTTCTCAGCAACTAATGCATCACGCTTCTGAATCAATTCATCCATCAACGCCAATGATTGACGACCAGTAATATACTTGTAGATTGCTTCATCAAGTTGTTTCTTCTTCTCTTTACCACTTGCAAATACTTCTTCTTCAATTAAAACCAAATCATCCGAAGTTCTTCTCGCAGTATCACTACTAACTTTAACTTCTTCATCATTGCCATTATTACCAGCGCTGCCACTAGTTATTTTACCACGTTTGGTATTACGGAACGCTTTTGCAATGGATTTTGGTGTTGAAGTACGTTTGAGTAAGGTCATTACTGATTTAAGTTTACCAGTTGTTAATAAAACTTCCTTTTGACGTTTTTCAAGCATAAGTTTTTGCATTTCGTTTGATTTCTCAAGTCGTTTTCTTTGTTCTTGTGCAGCCTTTTCTTTACGACGTAGGCTTTGAACTTCACGTTCGTTACGTTCAGTCATTTCACGAATCTTTTCGGTCTCAGACTTCATACGTTTGATCAATCTCAATTTTTCATTTTTAAGATGTTCGACTTGAGATCTCATGCTTCTAAGCATTGTTTCGTTTTGATTCTTCTCGACATTACTTTTTTGGGTTGCTTCGTTATATTTACGGCGAAGATCACCAATTTCTTGAATCAAACGTTTCATCTTATGTTCATAGCGAGCTTTAAGTTCAGCAAGTATCGAACTCTTGTCACGAGTGCTTACGCCAGTACTTGAATTTTGTGTACGTTTTACAGCTGAATTTCTTTCACGTTGCATATTAATCAAATTTTCTTGCATTTGAGCCAATTGTTGTTCATATTGGGCTCGCATGAATGTGAATTCTTGTTCGGCGCGTTCCAATTGCGCGACAAGTTGCTCTTTGACAGCAATGTCTGCTTGGATTCTATGCAACATACGTGAAAGAGTAATAGCGTTTTGTTGAGATGATTGACCGGTGCTGTTTTGTGAGGATGAGGATTTTGTAGAGCTAGGTGAGATTTGTTGGTCGGAGAAACTGACTGAGCGACTAGAGTTTGAGGCACGACGTTGTTGTTGTTGTTGGTTTGAATTTTGTTGTTGATTTGGATCAGTTGATGAAGAAGGTTCTTGCCAAGATGGTACTTCGAATGTTTGGATTTCACTGAATGATACACTGCTTGAACGTCTTTTTTCGTCTCTCAAATGATTTGCAATCAACATTTGTTCCAAGTAACTCTCACTTTTAGTTGTTGAAGGAGCTTTAATCAATTGACTCAAGACAGGATCATCGTGCATTGAACCACCGTTTTTAAGGAGTATAAGACCTTGTTTAATTTGTTCCTTGGCTTTTTCAATGGTGTCTCTTGCACTACGACGTCTTAATCTTCTAGGGAATTTAATAATGCCATTTTCATCCATCAATTGTTGATCAATCTCGATTTCGTCATCATTATTATTTTCACCATTTTCATTTTCTTGGGTGTAATGAGCAAACAATTTCTTGGCTTCATCTAAATCTTGAGGCTTAATAAATTCGCCTTCTTGGAATTGTTGTTGTTGTTGTTGGAACTGTTGAAGATCGAGGGGTTGATCGGAGTCTTGAGAAATTGGGAAATGGCCATTTGCTCTAGATGATTTAATTCCACCACTGCTGCTACCTTTCTTTGAACGTTTCTTCTTGCTTTTCTTTTTCTTTGAAGAAGTGTTGTTGTTGTTGTCGCTATCATTACTTTTTAATTCATCATCAGAATAATTATTTGGTTGATCAATGAATTTGATGTGACCTTTCTCTCTTCCAGGAGTGCTGCCAGCCAAGGAAGATTTACGAGGTGAGGCAGATTGTTGCTGTTGAATAACTGCTTGAAGGTCGCAAACTTGGTTTTTATAATTAGAGATTTGAGTCTCGAATTCTTGTATTATGTGATGAGTTTTCATTCTATGTTCACGATCAGCCTCCGAAAGATCACGATCATTATAACCGATTTCCAATAATAAAGTTTTCTTCTCTGTGTTTGCCATGATAAGTTCTTGTTCAACGGTTTGTAATTTCATTTTAGTCATACCCAAGTCTCCTTTAAGTTTTTTTATTTCTTCTTCGTATGCGCGGGTGTTTTCTTCATTTGCACCGCAAGATCTTAATGTTTGAACTTCCATCTTTAATCTACTTATTTGACCACGTAATTGATTTATTTCTATTGAATTTCCACCAAAATTCTCGTTAACGCTAACTTTATTTTTGATGTTACGTGCTCTGTTGGCATATTTTAATGTATTTAAAGTTTCCATGAAATTGGAGTCGGCGGGTGATATACATGCAAGCATAAGAGTTTGACTAAACAAGCATAGAGAGAAATAAAACAAACAAATTAGAGAATTATAATATATAAAAGATAACCCAACGAATATAAATTATATATCACCGAATAATTTACCTGTTACCACCCAAAGAATCTTGTAATAATCTCGTTAATTTAGAATCTCTGTATGGAATGTGAGTAACTTTTCGTGATTCATCACCGAGAGCTGATATCACATTACCAAGAGCCAATAAACCACCATTAATTGAAATTCCTTCTTTTGCACGATCACCAACAGCATTAGTTCTCTTAAGCTAAAATAAATTAATAATAATTAATTAATATATAAATATAATTATGATAAAAAATATATATGTATGTGTGTATGTGTGCGTGTAAAAATAATTACTCTTTCAGAACCAGCTAAATCTACGAAATGAAATTTCGAAACTATTTTAGCAGTTGAAGCTTTTGATTTTGATTTTCTTTTTGCAGCAGCAGAAGTATCAGCAGATGATGATGAGGAAGGATCTTGGTTTTCCTTATTTTCTTTATCTTCTTCTTCAATTTTAGTTTGTTTCAATATGACTGAAAATATTGCATGTGATCTTGAAGATACCAAATTCATTTCGGTTGAAGCGACTGTTCTACTTAATGAACCTTTTTGTAAATGACTATTTTATTGAAGAAAATTTTTATTGAAAATAATTAATATATTAATCATTATTTACTATTTAATTAACTACAAAGTGATTATTAATAAATATAAATACCCTAAGAGTTCATCAGGAGACCCAACGGTTACTTCTTTAACACCGGCCCAATATATTTGTCCGTTAGCATCTTCTCTGATGGTCAAATCACTTTTTCCTTTTTTGTTGTGTTCACGTTGTAAATTTAATAAATCGATCAAATCTTCATTATATAATTCTAAGAAAGATACCGCTACTTCGTATTCGTATGATGGATGCTTTATTTTTTTCTTTTCTAAATCTTCGAATAATCGGTAGATTGCACGAGGAACTATACCTATTTTTTTTTTTTTAAAAAAAAAAGAATAATGATGATGTCATTAAATATAGTTGCACAAATTTAAGATTATTTGTAGATCATTCGTGCCAATAAATAAACAAGCGATGCAGGTTGTTATTAGAATAGCAACAATGGACAGAATTTGGTGAAACCATGCAAATGCAAATGCAAATGCAATAAAGAGAACGATAAATAAAAACCAAATTTAGATTAGAAGAAGTTTGAATGAATTGTTTACCTTGATGATCAGGAGGAATGTTTGCACCATCAATAGCTGTGCCCATGCTATAAGTTTTTCCACTACCAGTTTGACTAAAATGAATTAAATATTAAATAAGTATATAAGTTAATAAAAATAAATCGCGGAATTGAATAAAAAATTAAACAATAACAAATGATATTTACCCATATGCCAATATTGTAGCATTGTATCTATTATATTTAAACAATGAAAAAATTAGCAAAGTTTATTGACGAGATGATGTGTTACATTACACATCATATATATGGTAAAATCTATTTAAATTTTTTTTTAAAATAATAATTACCCTTCCATAAGTTTTTCGAGTAATGGAAGCGCGCAATCTTGAAACACATCTCCTTGAGGAGTATCAGAAGAAAACACATAATCGAATGTGAATGGACGATCCTGGCCGATAAGTATTTGAGGTGCGTCGGGTATTAATGATATGCATTCACTACAATTTTGTAGTATTTCTTTGCTGTTAAGAGGTCTTACTCTTAAGGCGACACTGTATTATGTACAAATGAGAGAAAAGGAAGAATTATTAGAATTTTAAATAAAGTGAAAAAGATTGGTATGATAGGAAGAGAGAATGTGAAAGAGAAAAAAATTTTTTTTTTTTGAAATCCTACCGTACTGAAGTTGAAGTCATTTTTTATAATTTAAATGTAAAGAAATAGTTTTTATATAAAAAAAGTATTAAATTATGATACAAGAAGAAAAACGTAAACGTCGTGTATTATATACAATGGAATTTTGTGATTTTGATTTTTTAGTTTCTTTTTTTTTTAAAAAAAAATGTAAAAAAAAAGAATTATTTTTTAAAAGTGTATTAAATTATTATTATTATTATTATTATTATTATAATGTAAATCAAGAGAACCAAAATTAAATAAGAGGAAATGAATTTTTTTTTTTTTTACGAGCAAACGTAAAAAATAATTAATTTAAGTCTTTAGATTTTTTTTAAATTTTAAATTTTAAATATTTTTTATGGCCGAGAAATTATTTACTATTTATAAAGAAATGAATTGATTGATTTTAAACGGGCGTTTTAAATAATTCAAATGGTTGTACTACTATAAAATTTTTATATATATTATTTTAATTTAAAAAAAAGGGTCTTAAAAACGTGCGTGTAACTGTGATTATTCGATTTGAGAGTAATATATTTTAGTTGCACGAATTTTTTAGAAATTATTTCTAGGTAATAATTTTATATATTATAATTATGATTATAATTATTAATATTTATTATTATTATTATTAAAAGATATTTATTATAATATTAATTATTGTGTGAGAGAGTGGGAGAGAGTGAGAGAAAGAAAAGTAAGCGTCCAAAATTCCAGTTATTTATATAATTTTTTCTTCAGTTTTTTTAAGTTTATTTTATTTTTATAGATTGATTCAATTTAATAAAAATAATAATAATAGATAAAAAAATTTTTTAAAATATATCACGCCTATGTGAAAATAAATATAATTTTTTTTTAAAAAAATATCTATACAAAGATTATTATTACACGCGTTAATGTTAGTTAACATTATATATATATAATAATAATATAAATCTATAAATTTATTTTATTTTATTTTATTTTATCTTGCTTTATTTTATTTTATTTTTAGTTCTTGATGGACGATAGAACACGCGATATACATTTCCATTAATTTAAACTTTCTCATATAATGATTCAGTCTAAAATGATTTTTTATGGTAAATAGGACCCAGCATTACGTATTATCTATCTATCTAACATCTAAGAATCCTAAATTCTAGGTGATCAAAAAAAAAGTTATCTGGGGTGTTAGTGTTACACGAGACTTTATTATTAAAAAATTTTTTAAGTCAAGACTTGCTTGATCTACTAATTCATTCATTCATGTAATTATCATTAAAGTATTTTTTGTGCAAGAAACGAAAAGGGAGCGCAAGAGAAAAAGAGTGAAGAGTGAAAACGATAATAATCAATTTAATAATAATTATAATAATTGTGATGACGAGCTAAAGGTTCATAATTAATTAATAATATTAATTTAAAAAACTTATTAATATTAATTAACCAACATTAACTTGTACAATAATAAAATATTAATTAAAAAAAGAAATTTTACCAAATTTGAAAAATAATTAACAACTTTTAATTAATACATTAATTTAAATTGGCAATTATAAATAAATTGTAATTTATAATTTATATTACCCCACAAAAATCAAGTTAGTAGTTTAATAATAATAGTGTGTAATATTCGCAGTGCAATATAATAAGAATTTGTATGTGGGTGATGATGGCGGTGGTGGTAGTAGCGGTGGAGATATAAGCATCAGCAGTTATAGCAATAGGGATAATTGAGTGATAATTGACGATATAAATTTTTTTTTTTTAATAATTAATTGGTGTTTAAAGTTGGCAGTGAATGAATCTTCATCAAAAAGATGCTGTTTTGTAGTAATAGTATACATGGGTGAGTGGTAAAGAAAATAATGGTAATAATAGTGGGATTATTCTTTTTATGAAAATGTATGTAGTTTGCATGTAAAGTATATGTGAGGTATATGTGTGCATTGTAGTTCAGATTGTGTTTTATTTATTATCAAGTTATTTAAATAAATTCATAGAATAATTATTAATATTAATAATAAATAATTAAATAAATAAATAATTTATTTTATGTTTATCTATCATTGTTTAAAAAAAATAAGTCCAGTTACTTTAATTAGGTTCAGTCAATCAAGCAAACAAACAATTATTTCTCCACAAAAAAAAAATTTGGTTGTTTTCTTTATGTGAGCATCTACAGCACAAGAATAGATGATGGATGATGATGAATGTACAAATATATCTTATACACTGATATATGTAACAAAACATTACATTTTCAACAATTTTCATAATATTCGAATAAAACTAATTCATTCATTCAATTACTTACTCGATCTCATTCATCGTCGTCGCCAGCATCGTCATGTCTCTTGTTAAATCTCTCATTTCTTTAATAAGAAGGAATAATTTAAAAACGTAAATTTTATCGTCATCATGTTGATAATTTACAAATTCGCTTATGATTAACAGGTTCATCAGCTAGAATATTAGCCTATCTCTGAACTAATTTGAAAGGTTTATCAATTCGTTTTATTTTTTAAAAGTAAATGGTTAGTCTATTCCCCAAGTTTATTAATTAGTTTATTTGAGAGTCTATTCCAAAGTTAATTATTATTAGACATATATACGATAATAAAGAAACCTAATTAGGAACAATCAAAAGATAAATTTGAAAAAAAACTAGTTGCATACATGTGAAGTTATACATATATGTACCATATATATATAAATTCGTAAAAAATAATCATGCACTTACCTTTAAAAATATTTTATTTATCAACTGCCAATTAATTACTAGATGATCTACTAATAGACCAAATAACTAGTAAGTCACTCGTTTCCAACTCATTTCTCCATCAAATATTAAGATTTATTAAGATTTCAATTCGATTCAATTCAATCAACTTTCGTAATTGTTTAACATACAACTAAGCGCTTGTGATTCAGTCTTCACTTTTTTTGCCAATATTTTCATTCCTTCATTTATCCAATTTCAATCAATGATTTCATCATACCTTTAAAATTCTTCACGAAGAAGAAAGTAAAGATGTGAAGAATATTGTAATATGCAAAATATATCTGCACATATTTATTATTATTATTATTCTAATTATTATTATCCTTCTTATAATTTTAACCTTTGGCCATGATTTTTCCTAAACAATGGAACTATATAATAAAATAATAAATAATGACAACAGTAGTAATAATAATAATAATAATAATAATAATAATAATAATAATAATAATAATAATAAATAATAAAACCTTTTGAATTTCAATTTCTTCCGTGATGATTATTAAAAGTCTTTATTTTGGATCATTATTTGTTTATTTTTTGCATATCAAAAATCATCGAAAAAAAATTTTTAAAAAACAATGGCTTCTATTGTGTTAAATTTTTAATAATCGTCCTTAATTAATTAATCTTATATCATCAGCATTATTTTTTACCATATTTTAACAATGGCAGATTAAGCGAGCTTAACCTAAAAGGTAAACAATTAGTAAATATTTACTAGCCCAAAAGTAAATTTGGTAATTAATTATAAAAATTTTGGTTTTTTTGGGGAAGGGGAAAATGTAATAATGATAATGCGAGGATGATAATAAACGATGAAATAATACCCTGAAATTTTTGTTGATGTCTTCAAATTCGCTCTTTCTTTATTATATATTACTATTATAATAATTACACAAAGCAATAACACCGTTTATTATTCACAACTAGCATCATTGTTGGTTGTATCGTTTACAGATTAGTTTGAGAAGTTCAATTCGTTTTTGAGAATTTTCAATAATGAATGAAGAAGGTCGGGACAATGAAATCAATCGAGTATTGTTCTTTAGATGATAAAGAAAAAGAAGAAGTAAAAAAGGATGAATTTTATTAACAAAATAAAATTTCTGAATAAATTTATTTCTTTGCCATATTTGGAAATTTTTATAATTTAAAGTTGAAACAATGATTGTATTATCAAAATTTTGATAAGATCTACAGATGTATCTATTATCGCACATCGTAATTAACGAATGGTCTATATTTTTCAAAGTACAAAATACAAGAGCGTACATATATATATGATTTAAGCTTAGATATAAATTAAATGAACGTTAAAAACCAATTTGTAATTCTTTTCTCCACAAAAATTATCATCATAATAAGCAAAGATCGGAAAAATCATTCTCTAATTATAATCATCCATAGATATATAAGTTGTCATTTAAAGAATGGAAACAACAATCAATAAATCGAATATAATTGTTCTTAAATATATGAGACTTGCTAAAGGTCATTAAAAAAAACCTGTTAACCTACTTGTTAAAAACAAACAAATGCTATTTAAGTATAGGAGGAGGGAAGGAGAATTGTAGATAATTTTCCTAGCCTATACATTTTTTTGGATTTCTTAAAGAAGTCATGTATGTAAGTGAAAGATTGAAGAGGAAGGTGGATCGGTGGGAAATATGCAAACAAGATGAGAAGAAATAAAGATTGTGTGTGTGTGATAGTGATGATGAAAAAGAAGTTAATTAATAAACGACAATCTTTTGCTATTTTTTTTTTTTGTCTAAAAGATCAAGTGAATTTGGAATATCGATCTGAGGGAGAAAGCACAATGTAAATATTATAGTTGGTGGTTAAAGAGGGATACAAATAATATAATATAGTATTTTTTTTAATATTATATTTTTTATCGCCACTGCGTCCATTTATTACCACCAAACAGGAATTTTTCCAGTGTTTATTCATATTCATATTTACTTCTTACGCTTTTAGGTAGTCTTTATTAATATATTTAGGCGTAAAAAATTTCACATGATGAATATGAAATCCCTGGATATATTTAATTTAAAAAAAATTTGAATACTTGCCAAGACCCTGGTCTATATTTTTAATTTTGCACATAATCGAAATAGTGTGCATGTGGGTTTATTTAATTACTAAATAAATAAATTGTTAATAAAATTTTACCAGTTTTTTCAGTTTTTTCATACAAAAAAAAAAATTTATATAAAAAAACCAATACCACACCTTTTTTTA